GCGCAGTGTACCGCCATCCATCGGCTTCGTTTGGGCTTTCCACAGCAAGCTGATGGTAGACAAGGTGAGGAGGGAGATGATGCCAGTAGTTACTTGTCAGGGGCACGTTGTCCAACGGGCCCTAACATACTATTTCTGGAGTGCAAAGTTACTGGGGACACTCCGCAGGCAAACTAGGAGTGGATATTCCCTCCCGCGGAGGAACCAGAGATGACTGCGGCCACACTAGTGTACCCTGGAAGTCAACGAACCCGACAAGCTGTTACTTGTGTAACGACATATCTTCCTCCTGCTAGTGTACCATAGTTAGGGTACCTACGGTGTTGTCGCTTATGAGATGAACCAGTTAACTGACCAGGATAGTGCTGAACAGCATTAGGTTCGATCATTTGTAGAAACCTTTCTCCCTCGGGATCCAGAGACGGGTCATTGCCAAGATTGAGACCTGCCAGGACTACGGTCTTGGCCAACCAACTTATCCTACATACATATTGTTTGTAATGGCATGATAAACGCTCCTGAAGAGCGAAAACGTTGTTTCCCACATAAAATGTCCACTTAGTTGCATTGTGTCCTTTTACTTTACATATTGTCGGTAATTCTACGACCGTTATTACCAATAATAATGTGACGGGTGTGGGTTCGAACCCCACTCGTTTTTTTTTTTTTATTTTACTGATGTGGGTTCGAACCTTTTTTTTTTTTTTTCTGACTGTAGCGCTGTCTTATAGCCTTGTGCTTAGCGCTTCTTTTTTATTATAATATACTAATATGACTGACTGTGGGGTTCGAAAACCCCACTCGTTTTTTTTATGACTGTGGGTTTTCGAACCCCCATGTTTTATTTTTTTTGTACTGACTTGTGGGTTCGAACCCCTTTTTTTTTGAGACTGTGGGTTCGAACCCCACTCGTTTTTTTTTTTTACTGACTGTGGGTTCGAACCCCCCTTTTATGTTTTACTGACTGTGGGTTCGATACCCACTCGTTTTTTTTACTGACTGTGGGTTCGACCCCCCACGCTTTTTTTTTTTTTTTTTTTTTTTTTTTTTTTTTTTTTTTTTTTTTACTGACTGTAGCGCTGTATAGCCTTGTGGGTAGCGCTTCTTTTTGATATAATAATACTCATAATCATATGATCGACTGTGGGTTCAACCCACTCGTTTTTTTTTTTTTTTTTGTTTTTTTTGCTGGTCTGTGGGTTCGAACCCACTCGTTTTTTTTTTTTTTTTAGGACTGTGGGTTTCGAACCACTCTTTTTTTTTTTTTTTGTTAGGACTGTGGGTTCGAACCCACTCGTTTTTTTTACTGACTGTGGGTTCGAACCCCACTCGTTTTTTTTTTTTTTTTTTTTTTTTGCTGGACTATCGGTTCGATCCCACTCTTTTTTTTTTTTTTTTTTTTAGACTGTGGGTTCCGAACCCCCCACTCGTTTTTTTTTTTATGTTTTTTTTTTTTTTGCTGACTGTGGGGTTCGAACCCCGCTCGTTTTTTTTTTTTACTGATGTGGGTTCGAACCCCACTCAGGTATTTTTTTATGACAGGTTCGAACCCCACTAAAGGTATTTTTTTATGGTGTGGGTTTCGAACCCACTCAGGTATTTTTTTTATGACTGGGTTCGACCCCACATAAGGTATTTTTTATGAGTGGGTTCAACCCCACTCAAAGTATTTTTTTATGACTTGGTTCGAACCCCACTCAAGGTATTTTTTATGACTTGGGTCGAACCCACTCAAGGTATGTTTTATGGAGGGGGTTCGAACCCCACTCAAGGTGTATTTTTTATGACTTGGGTTCGAACCCACTCAAGGTTATTTTTTTATGAGTGGGTGCGACCCATCAGGTATTTTTTATGAGTGGGTACGAACCCCACTCAAGGTATTTTTTAAGACTTGGTTCGAACCCACTCAAGGTATTTTTGTTATGACTTGGTTCGAAACCCCTACTCTAGGTATTTTTTTATGACTTGGTTTCGAACCCCCACTCAAGTTTTTTTTATGAGTGGGTTCGAACCCCATTCAAGGTTTTTTTTTCTGACTTGGTCGACCCACTCAAGTATTTTTTATGACCTTGTTGGAACCCCCCCCAAACTTCAAGGTATTTTTTTTTATGCAAAACGACTATTACAGTTCCGCCCTAATACTTGTAAAACCATAATTTCTTTATAATGTGTGAAAAATCATAAGAATATCTTGATAGATAGTGAAAAACAGTCTACTAATATAATAACTTTTAAGAAAAAACTAAAAACATGATTGATGGCCGAGAATCATCATAACTGGATGTTCAACATTGTAAACTGTATGTACTCATTATGTACTCAGTAGGCACTCAGTAGGTGTTCAGTAGGTACTCAGAAGGTACTCAGTAAGTGCTCAGTAGGTACTCAGTAGGCACTCAGTAGGTGTTCAGTAGGTACTCAGAAGGTACTCAGTAAGTGCTCAGTAGGTACTCAGTAGGCACTCAGTAGGTGTTCAGTAGGTACTCAGAAGGTACTCAGTAAGTGCTCAGTAGGTACTCAGTAGGCACTCAGTAGGTGTTCAGTAGGTACTCAGAAGGTACTCAGTAAGTGCTCAGTAGGTACTCAGTAGGCACTCAGTAGGTGTTCAGTAGGTACTCAGAAGGTACTCAGTAAGTGCTCAGTAGGTACTCAGTAGGCACTCAGTAGGTGTTCAGTAGGTACTCAGAAGGTACTCAGTAAGTGCTCAGTAGGTACTCAGTAGGCACTCAGTAGGTGTTCAGTAGGTACTCAGAAGGTACTCAGTAAGTGCTCAGTAGGTACTCAGTAGGCACTCAGTAGGTGCTCAGCAGGTACTCAGAAGGTACTCAGTAAGTGCTCAGTAGGTACTCAGTAGGCACTCAGTAGGTGTCAGTAGGTACTCAGAAGGTATCAGTAAGTGCTCAGTAGGTACTCAGTAGGCACTCAGTAGGTGCTCAGTCAGGTACTCAGGAAGGTACTCAGTAAGTGCTCAGTAGGTACTCAGTAGGCACTCAGTAGGTGCTCAGCAGGTACTCAGAAGGTACTCAGTAAGTGCTCAGTAGGTACTCAGTAGGCACTCAGTAGGTGCTCAGCAGGTACTCAGAAGGTACTCAGTAAGTGCTCAGTAGGTACTCAGTAGGCACTCAGTAGGTGCTCAGCAGGTACTCAGAAGGTACTCAGTAAGTGCTCAGTAGGTACTCAGTAGGCATCAGTAGGTGCTCAGCAGGTATAGAGGTACTCAGATGCTCAGTAGGACTCAGAGGACTCAGTAGGTGCTCAGCAGGTACTCAGAAGGTACTCAGTAAGTGCTCAGTAGGTACTCAGTAGGCACTCAGTAGGTGCTCAGCAGGTACTCAGAAGGTACTCAGTAAGTGCTCAGTAGGTACTCAGTAGGACTCAGTAGGTGCTCAGCAGGTACTCAGAAGGTACTCAGTAAGTGCTCAGTAGGTACTCAGTAGGCACTCAGTAGGTGCTCAGCAGGTACTCAGAAGGTACTCAGTAAGTGCTCAGTAGGTACTCAGTAGGCACTCAGTAGGTGCTCAGCAGGTACTCAGAAGGTACTCAGTAAGTGCTCAGTAGGTACTCAGTAGGCACTCAGTAGGTGCTCAGCAGGTACTCAGAAGGTACTCAGTAAGTGCTCAGTAGGTACTCAGTAGGCACTCAGTAGGTGCTCAGCAGGTACTCAGAAGGTACTCAGTAAGTGCTCAGTAGGTATCAGTAGGCACTCAGTAGGTGCTCAGCAGGTACTCAGAA